GGGTTAGACGGGCTAGAAGGGCCAGGTGACCTAAGCTGATCAGGCGGCCTAGGTGGTGGCTAGGCTATTTAGAGTTTAGGGTTTCATATTTTTAAATTTTTTTATTAAAAAGAACCCATATTATTTCTCTCACCGTTTCCTGTTTCTCTTCATTCTGTCTCTTCACACAGACGCATTCTCTCTCTCTTTCTCACTCTCTGCACAGACAAGTGTGATGATGCCAATGCCAAAATGGCTTAAGTTTTAACTTATCCCAATTTCTCACTACAAGTATAATCTTTTTTAGAGTGTAAGTAGGCTGTAATTCATATATATATATATATATATATATATATATATATATATATAATAAATTGAATTAAATCTGCATGGTCCGCTTAGTCACTTAGTCACTAGGTCCTAACCTACTGCCCAACTACCGGTTAGTGTCTTTTAGAACATTGGGTACATGGGCTACTTTTTATTCCTCTCAATATTTTATTACTTTTTAATTAGCATATTGAAAAATATCATGGTACAACACTCACACATCAACTCCTATGTGTTGTTTAAATTAATTAAACATTATCTGTACCTATCTAAATATAATATTTTGAACAAATTATTTTTTTAAGATGTATACCGAATATATCTATCTTTGGAGAGAGTGTTTAGAGTATAACAGGTGTAAGAATGAGAACCGATATTTTTCCCACAAAAAAAAAAAAAAAAAAAAAAAAAAGAAAGGGATGAGAACCGGTTAGCAAGATTTCACATAATTTTAGTTTAAAAAAAATTGTAACGGCTAGAGATCTGGGCCTGCATAAACAGTTTGTCAGTTTGTGTAAAAAAGGTTGCGGGTGCATGATAAAACATGCAACCAGAAGCACACAATTACTGCTATATGATGTCCCAGATAGTCTTTTTCTCTTTATGGGGCCATGAACATGTAGCAAGCCCTCAGGAATTGGCGCCTACATCCTTTAGGGTAGATTCTTTATAACCCTCCATTGAAGATGGGTTTTGAGAAAAGGGCTAAGTTGGGGATTTGGCCCTCAATTGAGATGGCCTTAGGTTCTCGTTTGATCAACCATGAAGCCCTCACTAGAATTTCTTACCATCTGCCGAATATGAGGTTTTTAAGTGTGTTGAATATATGGTCTGGTACATTAAGTGTAATATTTTAATTTGTTGGACATTTGAATTTTTTTTTTAACCAATTATATTATGACATTTGGTGTATTGAGTCGTGTTCCCACCACATTGAAAATTATTATAGTACAACAATCACACATCAACTCCTATGTGTTGTTTAAATTAATTAAACTACTATTTGTACCTATTTAAATTAATTAAACTACTATTAGTACTTATTGAGTCGTGTTGCAGAGTGATGCCTCGTGGGTTTCTTTGGCCCTCCCTGTTATCTTGAATCCCCCTCTAAAGTTCTTGACCTATGTTTGTAGTTGAATGATTCCTTCCCAAGGAATATCTAGTTATGGCTTGTTTCTTTTCCCCTTTACTCCCTAGTTCTTCTACTACCCTCAATTTCGGTGCAAGATGGCTAGGTGCTACCAACCTGTCAAACCTGCATCATGCTTCCTTCGCAAGGCGTTGCTTTCCCAGGTCAGCTTTCTACAAGCACTACTTTTTGGTAGCGCACCCCATGGCTTTCGCACGTTGAACTTCTGTGTGACCTGGGAAGGGAAAGTCAACCTCTCTTTATTAAATGCATGTTTTGCTAGGGGTTTCACATGATCTTAGAGATAGGACTTGATTCCTTTCTAATTAGATTGGTTAGCTTGCTGGGAAATGGGTAAATTAAGTATGTTCTCTCTCAATGCTTGCCTATGTGGGATACAAGGGTTATGGGCTTGGATCTTTGGCCCCAAGCAGCCTAAAATCCTCCATAATCTTGACTCCACATAGGCCCAATAAACTCATGTAACCATCTACACCATAATTTACTTGACAAACACCGAGCATGTGACTTGGACACATGGTGTGATTTATATAAATATCTGGCTTAATCAATGTAGTGTGACATGGTTGTGAATATATTCTTTCCTCAATCCCGCACCTTCGCATGTATTCGCGCTTCACTTGGGGCTATCGTGACAATTGGGCCTGCTCATTACGTTTTTGGGCCTCAACAACATGCAACATCTAACTCCTAGGGGTTGCTTCCTTAGCCGTAATTGTTTAAAGAAGTTACACTATGTTTGGATGAGGGAAATAAACATGGAATTTTGGTAAAAGTCAGAATTTATAAATTAACAGGCACCAATTCTCTTGTTTGGATTCATAAGCATAGAAATTTAGAATTTCCGCATGGAAAAAAAACTTGGAATTTGGGACCTCCAAATCCCAAGTTTAAATTCCATGTAAATAGGTGTCATTTCTCAATTTCTATGATTGAGAGTTTAAAAATAACAAATTCTGTATTCAATTCCATTGTTCTTTTAGGTTAACCAAACAAGAAAATTTACAAATTCTAGAAAATAAAATCTCGTCATTTCAATTTCCGTCATTTTTAAATTCCTTAGTAATCTTAAATTTCTTCACCCAAACATAGTGTTAAGGAAAAAAAAAATAGAAAAAAAAAAATTGAAGTACACACTTCGCCTATTCGACCGCGTATTGGCATGTCCGCAATCATCCAAGACCAGAAAATGTGAGGCTAACAATTTAATTAGGAGAATTGTATTAAATGTGGTATTCTGTTTCCTTAAAACCAATGAAATGAAACCTCTTATAATTTGACATCATTAATTGATAAACCAAATGGTTCGGTCAAGCTGTCTGAAAATCCAGTTGGTTGTCAACTGCCAAACCAACATTACATATCTTGCTTGATCCACGCTTCATCAACTGGGTTCCTCTAATTAGTTCAACGTCTAAGTTGAAAAATAAATGGTTTATATCATTGAAGTTCGATGTGTTGTGAACTCAATGTGTATATATATGTATCTGTCAAAGCTTATCCTACTTGGGTTTGGGGGGCCAGGCTGCAGCTGAATTGCTGATGAGAATCCTACAATGCAAAAGAATGAAAGCGACCCGCACTTTATATTGCTTTGCTTGATCTTGTTTACATTCGTAAAACAAAATTATTCTAACACTAATTATTTTTTTTCACCCACCAAATAATTAATGAACAAATCTTGATCGCTAAGTTTAATTTGTCTACAATATTATATTCACTACGCCTGCTCTTTTGGCGAAAGTCTTTGCACGTAAGTACTCAAGAAAAATGCCTCTATTTTTATCATATAATTATATTATTACATTTGTACCAAGTCTTTTAACCGTCGTTGTCACGTAATTAAGGATTAGAAATATTACAGGCGGCAGAGAATACTAATGTCAGGTATGGACAAATTAGCAGGGTGATCAAGCGGAGAAAACTATCTTGTAATCAATGAAACCATGTGACAAATATTTATTGAACGAGTTATACTGTTAAACAAATGACAATCATCGATTGCAAATCTACAAACCAATACATTTGTTACAATAGAGAGTTTTTCTCAATTCTCAAGCACGTAAAAATGAACAGCACTGGACGCAAATAACATTGGCAAGTTGAACTTAAGTTACTTGAAGGTCTAAACTGGATATGATAAAAAATAATAATATCCAAAGTTTGAAGAATAATATTTAAAATCAAGCAAAAACTTCGTCACCCTAATGCATGTAAGCTCAAAAACTTAGATTTCGATAACTCGAAAGGCCGCAAATAGAGGAAAAACAAAATGCAGAGCCGTGTTAAAGACAAAGAGCTCTTGCCACTTTTGAGTTAACAGTCCACACGCCAAAGGTTAAGTTGATAAGGATTTCTGAATTCTCATTTAATTTTGGTGACCATACGAAAGATTTCATGGACGTGAAGTCGCACTATGAGTCAATAGCAATATCATCGATATTATTTTAATTAAATTATGTATTATTAATTGTTGAATTTTATCACAACAAATCTCAAGAGTTTTGAAAATAAACTTCTCGTATACAAATTTATGGACGAAGCCAATAAAGGCCTACAAGAGGCAGATGTCCCCACTTAAGTAATTTGTTAATTAAGCTGCATACTGCAATTATATGTACACGTGTTATCTTTGAAGAAAATATATGTCTAATATTAAGCATACCTTCATACTACTTCTACTCTATATCAAACATAATATGATCAAAAGTGCTCTTGTTCTGTCATTGAAATTGATAAATCCCTCATTCGCCTCTTGTGTGTTAATATTTTTCTCATCAACTTGCCACTTTCCATTACTACATTAAAGTTTTTATAATATTGAAATTATGATACGTCGTCATTTGAAATTCCTAAACCCTAATATGATTTTTTTAGTTGTTTTTCAGGTTGTCCCCACTAGAAGAAATTTTAACTCCATCCCTCTACAAATTTATATATTATTTTGTTTTATTTATGATATGGACTATATTCTAAAATTCAGATAGCTCTAAAATTAAAATTTGGAAAATAGAAAAGGCAACCCAAAAGGAAGAGTCAAAAGCCAATTCGGATTTTTGTGAAGCAGAAGCCATACAGAATTTTATACACAGAAAGATTCACATGCATGATTACAAGTGGAATGACAAGGAAGGATAGGGATGCGTTACCATTTGCTTCCGTTCATAAAAACAAACAATTTATGTGGCATTGTAGTCATAAAAAAGTCCACTTGATGCACGTATGAAGTGGACAGAACCTGACAGCCTTTACCTCACAGATGCCATTTGATTTCCCACCGTACAACACCAATAACAACAAAGTCAACAAAGTCGGATTTCACTCAATGGTATTGATTATATGAATCATAAAATGTCACTGCGCTTGATTTTGTATCAAATCTTATATTAGATTAAAGTAGTCCATGCATATCATAATTTTTTTTCTTCTCGATTTAATCGATAGTAGAAAAAAAGAAAATCGAACATAAAACACTAGATACATTCTGAATATCTTTTTTTCTGATAGAAGTGAGAAAAAAAAAATCGAACATAAGACGTCAAAAGCAAAGTAGTGAATCTCGATAAAAATACAATGAGAACTACAATTGTGTGTACTTTTTTCCCATTATTCAGCAATATTGTGTAAAATTGAGCTGCCATGGAAGATTATTGGCTAGCTCACTAGTGTAGAAAATCAAAGAAACTAAATGTATACAGTATAAGAAGAATTAAAGCTATTAATATAACCTATTACAATTCCTTTTGCTTTTAAAAAAATCTTCTGGAATTCAGGTTTGCTCCTGTCTGCATGTCTTCCTCCCCAAAAAGTTGTTCATAAAATACATGAGCTCTAATAAGCACATAATAATAAGTACACAATGAGAAGGATCAGAAAATTGAAGATGGACATGGCCTGAAAAAGACAAAGAAAAATATAGCATTAGACATCATTGTTAAGAAATTTAAGAAAATTACGGTACAGTAGTAATTTTCTCCGCTTAGATATCAAATTAATATAAATATATCGCTGTATTCAAAATTCAAGAAAATTAATTCCAACCCAAGATCATAGAAAGAATAATTAACAAAAGGTAATGTTTACGTACATTTACATTCGAGTCTGCAGAAAAAGTTAGCTGAGGAAGACCCTGGACTCCAGGAGGATTACCCTGGACTCCAAGAAGGCTGCCCTGGAATCCGATATCATAAACCGGAGTACCATCCGGATAATATAGTCCGTAGTTCCTCTCCGACGCAGGACCGGGCTTCAAATCCTCGTTAAAAAGTGCAAAAACGTAAATGTCGACCGGAACTTTAGGCATCGCCGGCGTCCCTTTATTCTCTTCAATTTTCCTCATCAGATTACCGTTGTAAATACCAGCATTTTCCGGCGTGGCGCCGGCCTCGTTTGCATCCCCTTTCGAAGGCCAGCCGGTCTCGGATATTCGGACCTCGATGTCTGAATACCCCATCGCCTTGATGGCAGAATAAACGGCATCAATCTGGGCATCCAGCATGTTGTCGTAGTGGAGATTCGTGACTGAATCGTCCATGCCAGGATTAGGCTGGAACAGCACGTACTCCAAAGAAACTTCACTTGGACTGGCCTTGTAAGCAAAGTAGGGATAAGCATTTATCGAAAAGGGCGAGTTAACTTGCGAGTGGAAGCTGAGGATCGGCTGGATATACTGAGTGAGATCTTGTCGGAAACTCCCCGCCGACGGTGGGTAGGAGTTTCCTAAAATAGTAAGCGAGTGCGCAGTTGTGACAGCTACTTGTTTGGAAAGGCCGAGGTTGACGAGGGCGCGGTAGACGGATTGCATTGCCGGGAGGAGGTACGACCAGAGCTGGGTGTCGTTGCCGCCGAGGACTTCGTTTCCGACATTGATGCACGTGATTTTGGTCTGGGGGAGATAGGGCTGCACGTTCTGCTGAATCCAGGACTGGGCTGTGAGAGGGTCGGTGGACATGCTCTGCAAGTAGTCGTTGCCGAGGCCGATGATGAAGTCGACGTCGGAGTTGGAGAAGGCTTGGAGGACGTTGGGATCGGCGTCGTAGAGTTTGACGCGGCTGACATTGAGGGACTGGAGGAGGACGGCCACTCGCGACGGAGATGGGAGGTTGTTGGCTATTTGTCCATAGTTGATTCCGAAGCTCAGGCTCTGGACTTGGAGTGTTGAATCTGAAAGCAGATACTAAATTCAGATCCTAAATTCGATGAAAATACGTTGTCAAATGTCTAATACCGAATTTTAGAAAGGAAAGAAAAACCATCGTAGATTAGTGAGTGGTTAATATAAATTGTTCACAAAACAGAAGATTGGATTATGTTTGGTTGGTGAGAAAACAGGGGAAACTAGACGGGAGGAAAAAGAAAATTTTCAAATTTTCAGTTACTTTTTTCTTTCACGAAAGCCAACAAGGAAATATATAAAGACCCAATTGAGAAAATTTTCTTTTAAGAGGACCCAGAAAGAAAATCTGAGACTTGTAGCTCAAAATTTCCATCCTTTTCTTCTCTGTGTTTACTTTATTTTCTTGCACTTTCTTGGGAACCAAACAGGTGGAGGTGGAAGAAAGTAGGAGGACGAACCCGAGAGACCGAGGAAGAGCAGAATAATTGTGAATAGGACAGTGGAGGTTGCCATTACTGATCGGATCTTGTGCTTCACCTCCAACAAGGCAACTCCGCCACCTCCCCCACTAGCCCCTGCAGCCTGTATTCCAAGAACTACGTGCAACTTTTACCACCTAGCAATGCCCAAGGTCCTTTAATATATATAGGAGCGTGCGCTTTGCCTTCCAATAACAGGTTTTTAGGTCAAAGAATAAAAGACTCTGTTTTGATACACATACTTTACAAAAATTTATACACAACGTGAAATCATATAATTAAGCATTAAACTCATTATGGGAACAAAATTTTAGATATTCTACTTATAACTTATAAGCAGTGGCGAATCAATAGAGGGACTAGGGTGGTTTTAGAACCTATAGAGGTCGGAAAACAAATGTAAAGTCCTTTGAATTTATGGTATGTGCTTTTTTTGTACCCACTAAGTACTTGATGAAATGTATGCTCGAAGTATATTGACAGGAGGCCTCGACAACATTAGGTAGAGGATCTCGACGAACTCGATTGACATACAGCCAACATGGCTCAACAGATGACGACATGCCCACAAAATGCTCGACGAATTGCCTCACTAAAAAAACTTGGACGTTTTACAGAGAGACCCCCTAAAGTTAAAATTATGAATCTACCACTGCTTACAAGTAGAAAGATATGCCACTCAAAAGTAGTGATAATGACAAAGAAAAAATATTTGTTCAGAAAAAACAAGTTGTGTATGATTGCTTGAGTAGCGCAACTCCCACACAGATTTCTTGTTTCAACACTTTTATCAGTTTTGATATCAAATAAATCGACAATTCAATTAAGAATTCTAATTAGCATAGTAAATTTTGCTATCCACTTGAAACATATAGGTCACTAAACAACCTTCAATTTGATTGAATTTAAGCCAAAATGAACTTTAAATGACATTCAATCACAATTGAGCAAAAAGAAAAAAGGACCTAGTGTACACCAGAGTAAAGCTTTGTTTTTGGGGTGCACACTGATTCGTTTAGATCATGGTGGAGGAGTTTCCAACTTTTGTTTATTTGGATTTTATATTTTGTTTGTTTTATGTGGGCTTTTGATTTAGCGATTTTTAAAAGCCAATTGTTTGCTTTGACGTATTAAATTCAGCTTAGTCTCTGTTGGATGTAGTGAATTACCCACACGGAAAATTTGTTTGTTCATATTATTGCTAATTTATTATGAGGTTGAACTCACCGTCTCTTTCTTAATGTAGATAGTATCGTTTGTTTTTTTTTTTTAAAAAAAAAAAGACAACTTGTGACAAGTCATAGTTATTCACCTATTCCGGCTCCGAATAGGCTATGGGGAATTTCACTCTATCCGTGAGCACTATCAAGTAGACTCACCAACTCGAATTATCGAAATCGGGACCTCCCACATTTTTTTGTTTATTGGGAACCGCAATCCACGCACTTACCACTAGGCCATGTTACGTATGAAAAGTCAGTGCTTTTTCCTATATTTTCTGTTTGGTTTGCCATCTTTGGGCAGTTTGATTTGCAAATTCCTTTTTAAATAGCAATATTTATCAACATTAAGGAATAAAGAATGTGCTTAGCTTCATAATTAGTTAACAATATTATGATTTAAATTTGTATTTGACGAGAATTGAACATAAGACTTCCTACTTACAAGTGAAGAGTAATACACTATATCGTAGTATTAAGTGATAGTTAGGTTTCGATTTAGATAATGAAGGAGCTGAGATGAGATTATAGGCAACTGTCCATATCATTAATTACCATTGAATTATCAAATGCAAAAGCAGAATGGAACTCTTTGGGTCAAATTTTTTAGCTGGTTTGACTTCTAACCTTGTCGTATGAGTTCATGAATCCTCTAACTAAAACTTTACTTAATTCAATGTATACATATCAGATCTTGACTTAATTTTCGTTCAATCAACAGAAACATAACATGAATTTAGTTCTATTTCAGGATTGTAACAGCTTTTTGAATTCATTAAATCCCTACCATTTGAAAAGAAAACGAATACATTTAAAAGGAAACATAAGCAAATTGTAGACGACTCCTTGGACTTGATCAAACTTAATAAATCGTGATGCAAACAGAACGTGTGACATATTTTCAAAAATATTTTCTATTCAAAATAAAAAATTCACTGTTTAGTCTAAGCAGACTAATCTCGACAATGCGAGTTTAAACTCAGAACATAATGAGTTGAATAAAACCTTGACCACTGAAGCAATTCACCACTTACAATAAATTCTCTTAACTAATAGACTGCATTATGGTTTAGCATTGTCGATAGCAGGATGTGAAAGTTGAATAAATATCTCCTTTTTGTTCTGTAGAACGAAGTGCAAGTGCAGGGGAAAACGATTCAACGAAGTCTATCATATGACGCAATCAAGTTTGGTATCATGTGCTTCGCTATCAGCGTGCTTGCCCTTTTCCCAAGTTTTTTCAATTAATCAACGTCCGATAAATACAGAGATCCACCATGCCAAGCAAGTTGAAGAAAACTTCTGCAAAACAAAAACCGTCATTTATGAAAGCGATCTTTTCATCTCATAAAATATAGTGTTATTTTAATGTGAAAAAAGTATGTATTGAATAAAAAAAATTATTATGTTCATATTCGTTCATATGTGTGTGAATGATTAGTATTTATATTTCCAAACGAGCATCGTGACAGTTCTTATACTACAACTAATAAAATTCAAGAATGTAAATTATAAGATTGAGTTTAGCAATTGAAATTTAGTTTACTAGTGTCACAAAAATATAATATATGTAGTTAAAAATGGAATATAAATGTTACTTTTTTAATTTTGAAAAAAAAAATTAAAATTAAGTAAAATAATACATGACGAATGATTAAGGGTATAATTTGCATACACAGTTTATGATGGTGAGAACATAAAGAATCTATGAATGGGGTATGAAAGGGGAAAAGGCGTGAGCTGAAAGGTCACCTTTTATTCCAAATGTCCAAGGTGATGACATTGATATAAGCCAACACTAGGAGAGCAGGTATACTCAGACTGGTGCTGTTCTGTGTCAATTACAAAATAATATAGAATATTATTAAAGAGATTAAAATTTTAAATTAAATAACGTATCACTAATAAAAAAATATGAACGTTTATGCATACTTAACTAATAATCTAATTATATACAACAACATCATTTGTTAGTAAATTTAATTTAAAATAAATTATGTGATCTCCTAGCATTAGCCAAAAATAACGTAGAGAGATCCTATTTCTAACACCATACGATACAAAAAGGTAAATTTATCATGATTAATTTTTTATTTTTTTCTAACTAATTATGGTGTTTTTAATAAAAGGTGTGTTTTGCTGATCAAAGGTGTTGTTTTTAATGAAAGGTGTGTCTAGCACCGCTTTGGGGCGGCTTCTTCGCGCGTTCAACAGAAAGGTCGGTTGACAGCTCAGCAATGGCACGTGTCATGATTCCTTTCCGGGTATGCGGCCTTTGTTTTAGTTTTTTTTTTTTTATAATTATTATATTGAAATGCATATCTTTTATTTGTTATTGGTCAGATTTCTCTATGAAAGCGCATGATCACGCCCTTTTATACTAAAAAAAACATATTTTAAAATAATCAAAAAGGAGAGCATGATTAACCGAGTGACGGAGCGTATGATCCAAAAATACATGTTTTTCATGACTTGAAAGTGGCATCTATTACGTGCCACTACCACTACCATCTCCAATACTACCAACACATTCTCCACCACCATTGCCCTCCACTATGACCACCACCGTCCTAGCATGCCACATCCCAACCACCATTTCTGTTTTTGTAATTTACAAGTTTACGAATGTGAGCTGCAGAGTACAAATATGTGATTATAGGAAACCACATATCGTCCAATTGTAGGTTAGCATAAATCACGTGTTTATGAGTTGTGCGGCTATGCTTCAACGCAAATTCATAAATATTCAAAGTCAAAGATCAATGAAATGGTAGCTGTTGATGCAAATTTTTGTCGTCTTTAGTCTCGACGAAAATGCACATGCAAAACAATCAACACCTTTGATCAGAGACCTAAGCCTCACACGCCCATGAGGTGGGGCGGAGGGGGGGGAGGGGGGGTTAGATCAACGGATCTCCGATGCCTAAGTTAGTTTTTGTGAGAGAGTAGAGTGTTTAGGGCTTTTTTAGGATTGCTAAAGCTCTGAAAATTTGGTAGAATATGAGGTATTTATTGGGCTAGGGCCGTCCATATATTGTTTAATGGAGAAATATTCTCTAAATATTCCCAAGATATTTAATAGGAAATAATATCTTGAGATAATGGAGTAATTATCCCTAATTGATTTAAATTAGGATTACTTACTTGATTGGAGTCAATCTCCAATTGGGAATGTATTAAAGATAGGATTTGGGTAATTAATCCTTATCTTTAATTCCTTGCTAAGGGCAGGTGAGCTGTGGGCAGTCGTATTCAGCTGCTGAGACCTCCAGGGGTGTAAGCTGCGCGTGGGAGCATCTGAGGAGCTTGCCCATTTATTGAGGGCAATCTTGTCTTCTTTGAATAAAAGTCCACGTGTTGCCTCTAGATTTTTTGGGATTATTTTAGGCTCCACAAATGCCCCTACACCTACTGTGCTGCACGCAGGAAAAGGATTGTAGGTGTAGGAATCCCAAGCTACTTAGGCTTGTGAAGTTGTTTCCCAATTTGAACTTGATCTTCTTTCTTGATTTAGAGATAGCCTTCTTCTAGGAAAAGGAAAATAATTACCCCAATACCTATTTAATTTTGCCTTAAGCAGGGGATTAAATAAGTTTGAAGAGCAATCTTTATTCCAACAAGGAAGAGAAGCCAGATGAAATTTTTATTCCCTCTCCCCTAGCGTTCTTCTTTTCTTGCCCTTGCTAAGAGTCGTTTGTCATTGTAGTTCTTCTTCTCCGTGCCACACCAAGGTAAGAAAAAATTGAATTTTCTTTTTCTTGAATTTTTTGGGAGTCTTGGGACTTGAAAAAATTGGCTTGATGGGGCCGTGGGTGTGAGTGACACACGACAAGGAGCCACGAGGCTGCTTGGTGGCGCGGCACGGGTTGGCTGTAGTGCAAGGGCGCTGGGCTAGTCGAGCCGTAGGGCTCTAGCCCCTCTAAGTGAGCTTGGCACAGGCTAAGCTTAGTGGAGCAAACTCGGGTCTGCTGTAGTAGGCGATAAAGAGCGAG